AAATTCGGACAAATTTAATCAATTACGCGATCAAATCCAATATTTTCTACTGTCCCGCCATCTTTAAGCCCCCGTAAAAACCTTACAATGGTCTGCAGGAAGCTTTTCTTCTCGTCGACCGGACACTGCCGGAACAGCTCCATCCCTTCTGGTGAAGAGGACCACCTGAAAATTGGGATTTTTCGAGGTGTCACCGTCCCTTTAAAAATTAGGGCCATTCAGGCTGGGCGGCAGAAACTTAGGACCTTTGTCTTCATTGGTCCTTTAAACTCGATTTTCCAGGTCCCTTTAAAACGTTTTCTAGGCCCAGGGAAGGCTCGGCAAGCTAGCAGAGATAATTTTTGCCTTCAAGGACCCTTCAAAATCGATTTTGGTGTTTTAAAGGAACATTGAAGGCAAAAAAGTCTATGGACAATCGATTACGCGCTCAAATTCTGGAAAAACCTACTCTTGGAAGAGCTGAATCCGCTCGGCGGGCAGCTTGTCCCCGATGGCGGCGATCGTCTTGTTCCGCGACTCCTCCTCGTCCTGAAATTTCATGGCGTAATCGGATGGGGTTAGGCCAGCAGAGATTCTTTAGGAAAACCGGCAACGAGCAGAGATTCTTTAGGAAAACGGCCGCAAGGGCAACGAGCCGAAATTTTTGAGGGATTTTAAATGGACCAAAATAAGACTTTAGAGAGTCAATTTTCATAGCGTAATCGGTTTAAAGGGACCGTGACATGGGCCAGCTAGCAGAGATCCTTTAAAAAACGTACCTTAATCGTGACGCGAATCATATGAAGCGGTATGAACTCGTCGTATCTGCTGTTCCACCCCAGATAGTGCACGAACGCGCCGGCCTTCTTGATGGCGTCGCGCAGGGCGACGATCGCTTCGGCCGAGAGCCCAGTCTAGAATTTTATGCCGTAATCGGTTGCAGAAGGTCTATTTTGGCTTCAATGGTCCTTTAAAACAGAAAATTGGCTTTTAAAGGCCCATTGAAGGCAAAGTTCATATAAATTTGGGAATTAGATGTCGTAATCGGTTCCAGGAGGTCGATTTTCGCTTCAATGGTCCTTGAAAAGCTCAAAAATCTGGTTTTAAAGGACCATTGAAGCCAAATATCGCTATGGATTTTCGATTTTCATGTCGTAATCGGATCCCAAATCGAATTTTGGACCTTTCTGGCCCTTTAAAATGTTAAAATGGGCCTGGACACCTAGAAAATTGACTTTAAAGAAATATTGAAGGCAAAGTATTCCAATTCCGCGCAGGCAGGCCAGCAGAGACCATTTGCGGAAACTCACCTCCCCTCCCTTTGCCTTTAGCATCGAGACGAGCTGGTCGACTTTTGGCGTCTCACTCGTCAGCACCCGAGCCATGTACCAGCTAAAAAAAACGGATAAAACATTTCAGGACAAGCTAAGGAAGAAACTCTGCGGAAAATCGCAAAAATTCGTTTTTAACGTTTTCCTCACCTCCCACAGTGCAGCGCCCTCACGTTTTGGCCCTGGCGGAACTGGCAGAGCCTGAAAAAATGGGTTGAAAAAATTTGGGCAAAAAGCAAAAAATTTGTCGCGGCCGGAGCTCGAACCCGCGACCCAAATTTCGAGGATTTTTGGCTTGCCGGGCCCTCTAAAAAGCTAATGAAATTGCTTAATTTGCAACTTACAAATGGCTGTGAAGGTATCCGGTCTCAGTATCCTCCTGGATCGGCTGATTTGCATCCAGAATCGCCGAAGCCAGAGGGCCGCCCCTCTCCCGCTCGACGCTCTTCTCCTTGGGCCCCAGGCCGGGTCCCGAGGAGCCGGAAGGCCCACCCGGGTGCAGGGAAAAGCTCTTCCGCTTCTCCTTCCGTTTGCGCGCTGAAAAAATTTGCATTAAAAAATTATTTCACCAAAAAATTGATTTTTCAAAAAATTTCCAGAAACCTTTTTCTTAAAAAAATTCTATAAAATTGAGGTTACTTAATTTTCTAAAGTATTCTAGCTCATTTTGTAGCCCTTGAGCTGCTCTATTTTAAGCAAAATATTTGAAATCTTAAAAATCAAATATGTCCGAGATACAGGCCCTAGAAGCCTAATCCTGGAGCCCCAACTTCTACCCCCTTTATCTCGGCCCTGAAATATGCTATCGTAATGGGATAAACAGCATTCGAAAGAGCGCAAAAAACTCTACAAGACAACGTCGCTGTTTTTAAATTTCCTCAATAATCCCGGCTACCCTGCTCCCATCCAAAAACGGGCTTTTTTTCAGACGCCATCAAATTCCGAAATTCCTCAAAACTCTCTTCTAGCCCCACTTACACTCCTCATCACTGGTCGTCGACAGCGAGTCGGTCCGCTTCCGCTCCCTCCTCTGCGCCGTCTGCTCCCGGGCTACGCTACGTTCCCGTTTACGGTCCTGGAATGGTATGGTTTAGGGGGATCACTTTTTCCAAAAGTGTGGTATAGCCCTGTAAGATATATCATTCGAAAGAGCAGGAAAAACTCTACAAAATGATGTAGTTTTCATTAAAATCCGATGTTTGTAGCCCGAGATACGGTCGATTGTAGCTTGTAGCCTCAGAGGGGCATGAACTTTAAATGGCCATAAATTTTGCTAGGAATTAGGTATCGTAATGGGAAGTATACCATTCGAAAGCCCTTGCAAAACTCTACAAAACCTCATTAAAACGAAAGTTTGTAGTCCATAATCCTAGTTTGTAGTCTACCCGTGTAGTCTGTAGCCCAGCCCCAAAATGCCTACCCTGGCCGTCGAATCGCTCCTCTTTAGCGTCACCGGCTGCTCGATATTCGGGGTTGTAGCTTGCAGCTGGGCCGGCTTGGGACTCTCTTTCTCTCGCTCTCTCTCCCTGCCGTGCTCTCTCGCCTCGCGGGCCACGCTCTTTCCCTTGGACACCTTTTGACGGCGGGCCTCGTCGTCTTTGGAGGCGGATGAAGCCGTGGAGCGGGCGGGGGAGGGGGACGGGTGCTCCCTGAAAAAATATATTGCTATTTTGCCCTTCAATAAGCCTCTAAAGTGTTGGGCGTGCGAGCGCCCTTAGGGCATTTTTTCGAGGTCTAGCCATCTCCCTAAAACGCTTTAAAGGGACCTTGAAGGCTAAAAATGGTCCCTCGGATCCGATTACGCCATGTAATTCCATCAAAATCTTGATTTTTGGCTTCAGCGGCCCTTTAAAATCGATTGTCTGGGTGTCTCAGTCCCTTGAAAATTATCTAAAGGACCGTTGAAGGCAAGAATGGTCTCTCAAATCCGATTACGTCATGTAATTCCCTCAAAATCTCGGCTTTGGGTTTCAGCGGCCCTTTAAAATCGATTTTCTAGGTATGACAGCCCCGACAAACCGTTTTAAAGGAGCGTTGAAGGCCAAAAATGGTCTCTCGGATCCGATTACGCAACGTAAAAGATGAAAAATCGTCCGTTTTCGCCTTCAATGTTCCCTTAAAGACTACCAGAACGATGGAACGCGCACTGTCACCCCGAGGGGGTCCCCCAAGAAGCGCGGAGGCGTCATTGGGGTGTTCCGTATTGGGAAAAGACCCTCTGGGGTTTGGGGCACCTCTGACTCCCTTCCCCACTTGGCCCTGTGGTATAGTGGCTAGCGCGTCGGACTGTGGAGCGAACCATCGCGGGTTCGACCCCCGCCCGGTGCGCAACTTTCTTGCTCTCAACGGAATTTCATCATTCTGGCGGTCTTTAAAGTCGATTTTTCGCGTTTTAACGGGCCGTCAAAGGGTGGACAAAATTTTGGGATGCGATTACGCAACCTAATTAGCCTTATTCGAGGGCAGGCTAGCCGAGATTCCTTACCGTTTCACCTTGTCCTTCGACACGACATCCTTGTCCTTCTCGCGACGGGGTTCCGATTTTTCCGCTTTATCGGCGTCTCGCGGAGGTTTTTCTGGATTAGAAAAAATTGCAAATTTCGGAAATACCGTACCATCTGGGGCATCCGGCTCCAATTTCGGCGTTTTCTCGACGATCGGCTCATCGGTTCGATTCGACGCGACGGAGCTCTCCTTCTCCCGGCTGCCCTCCTTTCGCCGCTTCTCCTTGTCGTCCTTTTTCGGTTTCTGAAGCGAAAATTGGTTGTAGAAATCCACAATGATCCCTGCTAGCTCCCCGTTCCTCAAAAATCTCTGCTAGCTGACCTTTTCCGAGGGATTGATCCTCTGGACGGCCCTTCCGGCCCTCTTCCCCTCCGGCATCGTCAGCTCGTTCAACGACCACCCCAGCCGGGTATACTGCTGGCTGAACGACAGCAGGTACCTGAAAAAAGGCCATACGAAATAGTAAAGCTCAAAAGTTACCGATTATACGCATTTTTGACGGTTACGGCCGTAGCACCGGGGCATCCCTCGAGTTTCATGTGGATCAGCACCTTTTTCCACTTGTTCTTCGTGCACACCTGCTTGTAGCCGCCCAGGCGACGAACCACCTGAAAAAGAGAATCGATTACGCTACGAAAATCCTCGATTACGCTAGGCAAACAAAAGGTAGGAAAATCTAATCGATTACGCTATGAATATCTGCTCAAATGCCATCTGATTACGTTAGCAAAAGCTATTTCATTACGAGACGTCGGTCAAGCGATTACGTCACTAAAATCATTCGATTACGCCATGGAATAATTACCCGGTAAAAGCGGTAGATGTCGAGCGGCTTCCCGCCGAGCACCGGCTGCTTGTTGATTGGGGTCGCTGAAAAAAAGAAAAATACCTAATTGCAATCCATTACGCCATGAAAATCGGCGTCGGGTTCGACTCCCGCCCCAGGCAGAACGGTCTAGTGTTTTGCTTTTTGCCCCAAAACTTGAGAATTAACTAACGGGCCCCCAGAAAACCGATAAAAGCTTTGAAAACGGAATTATCAAAAATTGCCCGTGGCCAAGTGGTTAGTGGTCTTGCCTGCCAATCTGACGACCCGGGTTCGACCCCCGGTCGCGGCTAGCTTTTTGCTACTTGCTTCAGAGTTTTGGGGCGGCTTCTAGGTACCATTAAACTTCAAAAAATTACCGTTCTCCTCCTGGAACTTGTAGAAGTGGGCGACAAACGCGTCGCGGGCCTCGCCAAACTCCTTGTCGGTCTCGTCGTCGCTCGACTCCTCCTCGTCCGACTCGCTCGAGGAGGTCGAGCTGAAAAATTGGGATAATTCCTCAAAAATCTCTGCTAAACCGCCTCTAGAAATCCTCAAAGAATCTCTGCTAGCCTGCCCCTAAAAATCCTAAAAAATCTCTGCTAGCTAGCTCCCAATCTCCCCAAAAATCCCTGATGGCACTCACTCGCTCTGGTCCTGCTTTTCCTCCTTTTTCTCGGGCTTCTTCTCCGATTTCTCCGTTTTCTCCGATTTTTCCGGCTTTTCCGGTTTCTCGGCCTTTTCCGCCTTTTCCTGCTTTTCCGGCTTCGGCTTCTCCGGTTTTTCCGGTTTCTCGGCTTTCCGCATCGCTCCGTCGGCCAGGATGTGCTTGTTCAGGTCCCACGACGCCGGCAGCGTCTTGCCGTTCGCTGAAAAATGGGTGTCATACTCCCTTTAAAATTAGTGAATGGTCTCTGCTAGCTCGCCCCTGCCTTCAATGGTCCTTTAAAATCCGCAAATGGACTCTGGTAGCCTGCCCCTGGCTTTAACGGGCCTTTAAACCGTTTTAAAGGGACGGCAACACCTAGAAAATCGGGTTTAAAGGTCCAGTGAAGCCAGAAAAAGGCTATGGATTCGAGAAATACATGCCGTAATCGGATCCAAAATAGAATTTCTGGCTTAAACGGCCCTTTAAAACAGTTTAAAGGACCATTGAAGGCAAAAATCGCCTCCCAATCATTTACGCCATAAAATCCCTCACAATCGTGGAAATCCTTGGCCTTGGCGAAGGCGGAGCGCATCGACTCCTTCTCGATCGTCAGCGGCCCGCCGGTATACAACTTCAGCGAGGAGGTCGAGGCGGTGAAACTGAAAAACAATCGATTAGAGCAGGCTAGCAGGGATTATTGAGGAAAATAGAGGCGCAAAAACCGACTATCTGCCCTCGTTGAGGAAGCCGCGGACGGGGAGTTCGGAGGGGAGGAGGGGACGATTCTTGGCGGCCGGCATGTTTTTGTAGATCTGAAAAATGGGGGCTTAGGCTTAGGCTTCGGCTTAGCTTAGGTTTGGGCTTAGGCTTAGGCCTGGGCTTGAGCTTAGGCTTAGGCTTCGGCTTAGGCTGAGCTTAGACTTGGCTTAGGCTTAGGCCTAGGCTGAGCTTAGACTTGGCTTAGGCTTAGGCTTAGGCTTAGGCTTAGGCTTCGGCTTAGGCTGAGCTTAGACTTGGCTTAGGCTTAGGCCTAGGCTGAGCTTAGACTTGGCTTAGGCTTAGGCTTAGGCTTAGGCTTAGGCTTAGGCTTAGGCTTAGGCTTAGGCTGAGCTTAGGCTTGGCTTAGACTTAGGCTTAAGCTCGCTCTCACCTTCTGATTGACGACAACTGCCGGCACAGAAGCGCCCGTCTTCTTCGCGTCGCTGAAGACGAGCACGACGTCGCCAGGGTACTGTAATGGGCATATTTCATCGCGTAATCGATTTCTTTGCCGTGTCACACTCCCTTTAAAACGGATTTTTCAGGTGTTATCACCCCTTTAAAGCGTTTAAAGGACCGTTAAAGGCAAAATCGACCCCCAGGAAAATCGATTACGCCATGAAATTCCCGAAAACTCACGAATTTCGACTTTTCCCTCTTCGTCGGCTCCTCCTCCTTGCCGCGCTGCCTCTCCGCCGCTTTCTCCTTGGTGGGGGTGCGTGACGTGTCGCTGCGCGTCGACTTTTCCCGCAGTCGCTCGGGCCTGAAAATTGAGGTGTAACTCCGCCTTTAAAAACGAGAATTCCTCAAAAATCTCTGCTAGTTGCCTTCTTCCAATTCCCCAAGAAGCCTGCCAGTTACCCACTTTTCCTCCTCCTCTTCAGACGTTTCCCTGTCGCTGTCACTGCCCGATTCGCTGCCGTCCTCGTCTTCCGAAGACACGCCCACATTTGACGTCTTCTCCGCCTCCTTGACCGCTTCTTTCGCCTTTCTGGCTAGCAGTTTTTCTGAAAAAAAACGGATTTTGAATCGATTGCGACATGTTTTTTGGTCGCGCGTTCGACCCCCCGCCCGCGGCAGCCGCGTCGAAAGTTTTGCTTTTTGCCCCAAAAACCTCAGAAACATCTAGATGGCAACCAAGAAGTCAATTGGCGCTTTAAAAATTTAATTTTCAATCGATAACGTCATAAAAAATGACCTCGGGTTCGACCCCCAGCCGCGGTAAACTTGTTGCTTTTTGGAATTTGGGCCATTTCCGACCGGCTGGACATGAAAAACGTACTCTTGAGCAGCCACTTCCGCCTGTCCTCCTCCTCGGCCTTCTTCTCCGTCTTTGCCGGCGTTTTTCCTAAAAATTCGAATTTTTTCATGCCCAAAAGTTTTTTCTAACTAAAGTCAAAGCCACACGAATAGCCGAGAAATGAGGGGGTGAAGCTGATTATAATGGCGTTTTTAAAGGAACAGAGAAAATTTGGGGAAACTTCCACCTAGCTCAGTCGGTTAGTGAGTTGCGGATCAGGCTGAGGGTCCGGGTTCGGTTCCTTCCGATGCCAAAATTTTGCTTTTTGGACTTTAACGTTTTCTAGTGATTTTCTGGGGTCCAGAAAGCTTTTTTGCCCCCCGAAAATGTCGAAAAAGTGGCGCAATCGGTTAGCGCTAGGGTATCAGGCTTGCGACCCAGGTTCGAATCCTCACGACGTCGAACTTTTTGCTTTTTAGATTTTAACGTTTTCTAGTGATTTTCTGAGATACGAACAGCCTTTCTATCAACTGATAGTCCCGAAAAAAGTAGCGCAATTGGTTAGCGTCCAGCTATCAAGCGGAGGGTCCGGGTTCGATTCCTGACAGAGCCAAATTTTTTGCTTTTTGGGTCTCTATCAGCCTCCTAGACTTCTCTGTTCCTTTAAAAGCTCAAAACTAAAGCCTGTGAGGGTGGAGGATACAGACTACAGACTACACCAAGTGACACCACCCGAAAAAAGTGAGAGAAACGAAAGCAAGGAAACTGGCCTCTGGTGGCCATTCGGGAACCTGGAAGTGACAAAAATACTTTAGAAAAGAGGTTTTTCATGCCGTAATCGATTAGCGAGACCTTCACGACCCCTTTAAACCGATTACGCCATGAAAATGGACGCACCCCGGCTGGAGGAGGGCTTCTCGTCGTCGCTATAGTTGCCCGAGTGGTCGTGCCGCGGGTGCTCCTTGCGCGGCGTGTTCGCCACGCTGCGCGCCTCGCGCTCGCGCCGGCTGAAAAAAAGGGGGATTAGGACACAGAGGTTTCGGCAAAGAATTTCTGCTAGATAGCCTGAAATCTGAGATCTAGGCGTCATACTTTCTTTAAAATGCCTCAAAAACCTCTGCTGCCAGGTGTCACGCCGCCTTTAAAACGGTGAATTCCCCAAGGATCTCTGCTAGTTGTCGACCCCGGAAACTCCCCAAAAATCTCTGCTAGTCTGTCCCAAAATAACGAAAATCCTGGTGTCACGCTCCCTTTAAAATGGCTGAAAAATCTCCGCTATCTGCTAGATGTCACCTCTCCTTAAAAGACCGAAATTCCTCAAGAATCTATGCTAGCTTCCTTCAGAATACTGAAAATTAAGTGTCACTCCCCCCTTAAAACGTAATTCCTCAAAAATGCCATGCCTGCCTCAAAAACTGAAAATCTTTGTGTCCCTATCCCTTTAAAAGTCCCCAAAAACCTCCGCTAGCTGCTAGTTGTCCCCCACCCTTTAAAAGCCTCACTTTTCCAGCTTGTTCTTCTTGATAATCTTCGCCACAACAGGACTGGAGAACTGTTCGGGGTTGTAGAGGGGAAGTGCGTCCAGCGAGTGCTCTTCATTGTAGTGCTTCGCTCCCTTCAGCACCATCTGCGTCCGCTTCAGCCGCTTCTCGTCGCCGTCATCGAAAACTGCAAAAAAAAAAATCCGATTGCAAACCGATTACGCCATGAAAGTGGGTCGCGTAGTCGAGTGGTTAGCGCCTTAGGCTGTCAATCGGGCGGTCCGGGTTCGACCCCCGGCCGCGGCACATGGGTTAAGCTTTTGCTTTTTGCTTCCAAAGCTCGGAAACAGCTATCTGGCTTCTAGAAAACCAATTTCCTGTTTAAAAATTAAATTCCCAATCAATTACGCCATGAAAATGGGTCGCGGGTTCGACCCCCCGCCGCGGCCGAGGTGTTAAACGTTTTGCTTTTTGCTTCAAAAGCTCAGAATACGCTATCTGGCATCTAGTAAAGCGATTTCCTGTTTAAAAATTAAATTTCAATCCGATTCCGGTCTGTAATTAGTGCAGAAAAGTACTGACCAACATCGTAGGTGCTGTAGTCTTTGATGTTCAAGATCTGCCCTCGTACCACCTTGCCGCCGTGTTGCACCTAAAAATAATTCTGTTTTTTTTTGAAGGGAACTAACTCTAAACCTTTTAAAATAAATTTCTACAAATCCAAAAATCCAATTTTCAACTTTAACTTTTTTGCAGTACCTCGACAAGCTGATTCAATTCGTAGACGGCATCCCCGCGCAAATGGCTCTCGTCCATGGTGTGCGTGCCGCCCGGGTGCTCTTTTAGCAGCACCTGAAACATGGCTCAATCGGTTAGTGTAGGGCATCAGCCGGGGGGTCCGGGTTCGAATCCCGCCCGCGCCAATTTTTTTGCTTTTCGGAACTGAAGTTTTTCGCGGATTTTCAGACCTCTAGAAAGCCCAAAACTCGACCAAAAACGGCAAAAAATGGCTCAATCGGTTAGAGAGTTCGATTTCAGGCGAGTCACCCGGGTTCGATTCCGGCCCACGCCAAAATGTTTGCTTTTTGAATTTTAACTCGTTTTCTGGCTTTTCTGAGGTCCTGAAGATCCCAAAACCGATCAAAAATTTCGAAACGTGGCGTAATCGGGAAGAAATTTCGCCATGAATCTGACTACCCGAGTTCGAATCCTACCGGCGTCAAAATTTGTTGCTTTTTGAATTTTAACTTGTTTTCCAGAATTTTGCCGTCCAATTAGCATAAACCCACCTTGAACTTGATGGTCTTGAACACCTTCTTGACGCGGGCCTCGCAGAAGGCGCCCTTGAACTTGGCCGACACCTCGGTGCCCACCTTCAGGAATGGCGGGTCGTCAGACTACAAAGTATACCGGTTGTAATTTGTAGTCTAAATTCACTCACCGCCATTTTGCTGCTTCAAAATCGATAAAAGGCCGACGAAAACTCGAGAAATCCCGGCGTTGATCGCTCTAAAAAATGGAGATTTCGCCTAGACCACAAGATACAACGCTCTACATCGAAATTCAGGTCCACTAATATCTAGAAAACGCAAAAACGACAATAAAAAGAGCAACCAACTTCCGATACTTGAAGAGCGCGAAAAAAACGCTACGAAATGCTGTAAAAGCATAAAAATTCAGATTTTCCAGCATTTTTAGAAGCGAGTCTAGAAATTATTAGAAAACGTATTAACACCGTTAATACTAGCTAAAAACTATAGACGCGACAATGTGATATATTTTATCTTATAGAGCGCGAAAAACGCTACAAAATGATGTAAAAATCATTGAAAAAATAAGGCTCCTACGATTTTCTACAAATTTTAGAAGCTAAGTCTGGGGAATCGAATTAGCATAGTTTTAATGCTGGAAAATCATATAAAAATAACTATTAAAGAAGAAAAAGCTTCCGGCGTTACGTTATATTTTTGGCGGCTTGGCCCCTTGCCCCGGGCCGTCGAAATGGGTGAGGTGAGGCAACGCGACGATACTATCTACACGGGGGAGGGCGAGAGAGCGGGGCGAGAGTGGAGGGCGCAGAGAACGGGCCGCGGCCCTTTGAATCCTGAGGTGATACGGAAGTGGTTTTTGGCTTATAAGTTCCGGTAGAAACGTCAAAACGTGACGATTTTTACACCAATAGAACGCCCTTGATCAGGCGAACAAGATGAAGCCGTTTAAAAGTTAAACTTTCGTATTCTCGAAATTTTTTCAAGTTTTTTCCTGCTCAAAAATTGGATTTTTTGCGTAGAATTTTAAGAATTTCTGGCGTTTTCTAGCGCTCTCACCACTTAAAAAAAAACCCGAAAAAACGCATAAACGCATAAATTTATTAACATTTCCCGATCAACGAACACGCGAGGCACACAAAAAAGGCAGAAAAAGAAAGCAGACATTTTTTCGATTTTCAAGTAGAGGAAAAAACCGGAAAAACGGGACCCGATCGAGGAGGACGAGAGGAGAATCGGGGGGGGGGGGAGACATGCTCACGAATCGATTACGACATTAAAATCGGCCGAAAGGGGTGGCGGAATCGATTACGACACCAAAACTTACGGGGGGAATCGATTACGGCATTAAAAATCGCTCGTTTTCGAGGGGTGGGGGTGAGAGAGCACTTAAAGGGGGAGGGACTGGAGAGATATAGAGGGATATATTATAGGGATAATTATAGAAAATGGGGGGAATTTAATAGCGTGGGTTCCAGACATAGCTATGCTGAATGGGGGCACACGAACCACCAAAAGACATCGCAGAGTGGCCGCCCATCGCCGAGAAATTGGGGAACGGCGAGGAGGGGTGAGAAGCCGAGGCGGAGGAGGAGCCCGGGTGAACGAGCTCGTGATGATGGTGCTGACGGTGCTCGCGGCGCATACGCTGCAGCCTGGAAATGAAAATTATAGCGAGAGGGCGAGAGAGAAAGCGAAAATAATCCACTTTTTTTGTAAATTTTCGACCCGGAAAATCGTGGCCAAGGTCAGCTAGGCTAGCGAGAAAAAGCGAAAGAGAGAGAGAGAAGAGAAAACAAAAAGAGCCTCAAAATCAGAAAAAAAACCAAATTTCGAAAAAATGCGGCGTGGCCAAGTGGTTAGTGGCCTCGCCTGCCAATTTGGCGACCCGGGTTCGACTCCCGGTCGCGGCGAATTTTTTGCGTTTTGCTCAAAGCGCTCAGAATCGAACTTCTGAAGGCCAGGAACCCAACAACAACCTCAAAGGCTGCATTTTTAACAGATGTTCTCAGGGTCTCGGGTTCGACTCCCGGCCGCGGCAGAATTTTTTGCTTTTTGCTCATCTGGCGGCTAGGAAGCGAGAGAGAGAAGAGAACGCGAGGGGAGAGAGAGGGAGGGAGAGAGAGGGAGAGAGACCATCAAAACGTACCGCTGGCTATTGCTGTGGTGGAGATGGTCATCGGCGCCGAGCAGTTGTTGGGCGTCGCCTTCGTGGAGGACGCTGGGGGCAATGTAGGTGAAGCCGGCGAACGGGTTCGCGACGCCCTCCTGCAGGAACGTGGCCAGCGAGTGCTCGCACGGGGTGTCAACCTGAAAAACATAAATAAAAATTAGAAAAAGCCTTGAATGGTCCTTTATAGGGACCGGAAAGTCAAATCTATAGATTTTTTAGTGGAAAAATCCATATCCCTGCCTTCAATGGTCCTATAAACAAAAACCCGCTCACCGCCGGCATGCTGGTGAACTGGGTGTCAAAGTTGGAGACGTCCTCGGCATGGGTGAGGTTCGGCACGAACGGCGGCTTGCTCTAAAGATACCGGGAAGTCAAGAGGAACCGGAAGTTGATGCTCACCTCCCTGGAAGCCACCTGGACCCAGTTGACGTTGGCCACGAAGAACGGGTGAGCCTTCAGGTCGTCGATACCGTTCGGGCCGGCGCCTGAAAAATACAAGGCGTCAGCGAGCAGTTCAGGGGTTCAGTTCAGCTAAAGTTAAAAGTCCAAGTAAAGCTCAAAAAAAATAAAAATTCGGACGTCATCGAGCAGTTCAGCGTGTGATCGTGATTTACGTGTTTTTTGAGGCGCAACGAGACCGCACGCGCAGAAAATCCCTTCTAAAGGACCGCCAAAATCAGAAACCCTTTTAAACGCCAAAAAAGTAAAATTGCCGACGTCAGCGAGCAGTTGAAGACGCAAAACGTACCTATGCGGGATTCCGGGTTGCGCTTCAGGAGATGGCGGAGCAGATCACGGGCGTCCGAGCCCAGGTAGGCGGGCAGCGTGATGCGGCTCTGGAAAAAAAGAGTGTAAACAAGAATCGCTAAATACCTTGAGAATCTTGTCGATGGTCTTCTTGCGGTTCTCGGCGATGAATGGAGGGGATCCGGTCAACATGTCGAACATCAACGTGCCGAGGCTCCACCAATCGACGGCCTGGTTGTGGCCCTGGCGCGTCAGGATCTCCGGGGCCATGTATTCTGCAAAAAAATAGCGATTAAAAAAAATCCATCGATAATCGATCTAAATTTAAAATTCCAAAATTAACAACATTTTCTGCAAATGGGATTTTTTAATTTCGATTTTCTGAATGGTCGACATTTTTAAATTTCGAAGGGAAATTTAAAATTCGAAATTTTTCAATTTTGGCAAAACTAAGTTTGATTTTTTCAAAATCCGGACATTTTCAATTTTATGATTCACGAATTTTTTAATTTCGGGTTATTTCGATTTCGATATCTTGCCATTTTTCGACGTTTTGATCGATACAAACGAATTAAAATTAGTCCTAGTAATTAGTACAAATCTGCAAAAATTGATAAAAACCCGCTGAAAATGTACCAATGGTTCCGCAGAAGGTGTGCGTCTTGATGTCGCCCTCAATGGCCTCCTTGCTCAGCCCGAAATCCGTCAGCTTGATGTGGCCTGGAAAAAGAAAGTAGAAAACGCCGGAAATACGTGGCGTAATCGGTTACGCCCGATTTTCATAGCGTAACGGATCTGCGAAAATACACTCAATTTCATAGCGTAATCGATTGCCTCGAGCCGAATATCACGACGCAATCGGTTATCCGAAATTTCCGGAAATTACTCCTTATTTCAGATCACGAATTTCATAGCGTAATGGCAGGCAACAAACTAAAAAACGGCCAGAATTATGTGGCGTAATCAGTTGCCTTCAATTTTCATAGCGTAACGAATCAGGGGAAAAAAACGCCACATTTCATGCCGTAACCAGATAACCCCTCACCGGCCGAGTCGAGGATGATGTTCTCCGGCTTCAGGTCGCGGTAGATGATGCCGTTGCGGTGGAGGTGCTCGAGGGCCAGCGTGATCTCGGCCAGGTAGAAGGCCGCCGTCCGCTCGGGGAAGATGCCTAAAAAACCCGCATTTTTCGAACCCGGAAATCGCCGCTTACCCTCCTTCTCGAGACAGGCGAACAGCTCGCCGCCGCTGAGGTACTCGAGCACCAGATACAGTTTGCCCTCCGTCTGGAAGGCGTAGTGGAGGCTGCAGATGAACGGATTGCGCACCGCCTCCAGGATGTGACGTTCAGACTGCAAAAAATCGATTAGAAAAGCGGATTTAGGGTAGAATTTTTCGGCGATTCTGAATCTGGCTTCAGAATTTTGCAGGAAACGATTATGACAAACTTAGAAGTGAACTTCGATGAAAAATTAGGAAACAAATCAAATTCAGCATATTTTGCGCCAAAAAAAGTCAAAAGACGCCAAAAAAATTTTTGGAAGTGAAATTCAGCAAATTCTGAAGTCGATCAAGCACAGAATTTCTCAGCGATTCCGAATCTGGCGTCAGAATGCTTTAAATTCCTGTATTTACATCGTTACGACAAGAAACGGCACGAAAAATTAGGTTAAAAAAATCAAAATACGTCATAAACTTTCAAAAAGTTTTTTATTTTGAAGGCAATTTTGTGTAAAATTTCACGCCGATTCTGAATTTCGCTTCAAAATGCTCTAAATTACTGTATTTACAAAGTTGCAACAAAAATACGGCCAAAAATCCCAAAAAACGTTTTAAACTTTTCAAAACACAGTTTTTCATGAATTTTGAAGCCAGATCCAAAATCCCTGAAAATTTCTCGACAATCGGATGGATACCTTAACATGAGCGGTGTCCTTCTGGTTCTGCACAAGCGTCGCCTTCTTCAGCACCTTCATCGCGTACAGCGTGCCCTCGTCCGGGCCCGAAGTCTTTCGAACTTGGAAAACCTAAAAAAAATGGATTTTCTCGAAAATAGAATATTCCCTTACCTTGGCAAAGCCGCCCTTTCCGAGCAGGCTGAGCAGCTCAAAGTCGCCCTTGCCCACCTTCACGCCGGCCGGGTTGATGGCGGCGGCGACGGCGCCGAGGTCGGTGGCCTCCATGTCCGGCTCGAACATGTAGTCGGTGGGCGGGGGCGGGGACGAGATTTCGCCCTGAAAATGGGGAAAATTAGACAGGAAACACCGTAAATACAAAAAAAAACGCTGATTTCTGGCCTAAAAACTCTCAAAAAGCAAAAAAATACTTTTTAAAGGACTTTTTATCCATTTAAAAGCCTAGTTACATTCGTTCGTCATGAAAAAGGAGTTGAAAAAAACAAATAGGCCAATTTTGAGCTTTAGGCCTGAAGAAGCTTTGAACTAAACGCTGAAAAGCTCAAAAAACCTAAATTCACCTAAAACCAAGCCAACGAGCTCGGGAAAAGCCAATTTCGCGAACGCAAAACCTCGAACTATAAGTTTAAAACCATTACGTACATCAGGCACGCGCTGGTAGGTGGCCAAATCGTCGTCATCATCGGCAGCACACGCGGCGTCGACCATCGGCCTGCCCCATCCGTCGACGTCTCGGCCATACGGATGCACGTGGCCGTCCAGATCCATTGGGAACAGGTGCGTCATCTGAAAAAAGAACTTCGTAAAATGCGTTTAGCAAAGAAAAGAACGCGAAAATTGGCTTGGAAAAGCGAAAAATCGAGTTTGAAGTTTGGAAAACGCGTTTAGAAACGCATAAAACGGGAAAAATTGTTTAGAGAAGCGACAAATCTAGGTAAAAAGGCGAAAAACTGTTCTCTGGCATATAAAAATTAATTTTTAAGTTCCCCGACTTCATAAACGATCGTTCTCCATAGTTTTTGGCATTTAGAATGGGAAAACACAAAACACAAACGTTTTTTGAACGTTTATAACTTTTAAAAACGGCTCAAAAAAAGCAAAAACGAGTCTTTCGCATCTAGAAATGGATTTCAAAGCTTTTAAAAGCAGAAAACTAGCCTTTTCTATAGTTTTTGGCATTTAGAATGAGAAAATAAGAAAGGCAAAGGTTTTTTGAAAGTTTTTAGGCTTTAAAATGATCAAAATCGGCTAAAACACGCCAAACGTTCGAGATAAAATGAATAGCGACGCGATTTTCGTGTAAAAAGCACAAAACAAGCATAACTTTGCTAAAAAAGCGAAAGCTTGCAAAATTGGGTATGTGAAATGCAAAGATCAGGCGGAGAAGCGCGCGGTGAAAACAAAAAGGAGAGGAATAAAACAAAACAAAACGCGCGTGCGCACGATTTTTCATAAAATGTGACTGTTTTATAGAAAACACATGACGAGGGGATATTTCTTGATCAAAAGATCTAAATTAGCATGTTTAGCGGTTAGAAACAAAAGATGAAGTAAAAAAGAGGTTAGGGATTGAAAATTTTCACTTTTGAGAGGAAAAAGCTGAACATTTTCAAAACCTCATAAAACCAACGTTTTTATTGTTTTCAGTGTTTTTGAAGTATTTTTTAAATTTCTACGTAAATGAATAAAAGTAAAGAGGAAATCCATGTTATTTTAGCATTTTTAAGCGGTTTTCAATCGTTGTAAACCCAGGTACACGAAAAAAGACGTAAAAAAGCCAGACCGAATGCGATAAACGCATGAATGGAGTAAGTAAAGGCGCATCTGCCGGGTTATTGATTTTTTTAGCATTAACGCAACAAAAATCATTTAAAAAACGTTAGGGGCCGTTTAAAAACTTCTATTTAGCGATGCGAAACGATGGAGAATAAACTTTAGAGAAAAAATGCTTTAGAAAATGCATTGGATCGTCGGAAAGAAAGGGAAAACTATTTGATTAACATTTTTGGCATTTTTAAGTGATTTTTAATAAATCTAAAAACTGAAAACTTCGAAAAAAGAGGCGAATAAGAATAAGAAGAAGCCCCCCCGCGATGAAACATCGCAAAAGCCATATGACCGGCGGCAGACATTCGCTCTTTTTTGCAGAAACCACCCACCCACACATCGATTATCGGAAGGAGATCGCCGGAGTGGCCAAAGTGTACGCGCTTCTCCTTCTTCTTCTTCGTCTCGACCTCGCCGCGGCAGCCCATTGACGACAACAAAATCCAGGGCACATTTCAATGGTGGGAAGAAGTTGATGGTCATGACGCGCGGCATAAAACTGCATGAAGCTGCAGAAAAAACGGAAATGGCACTGAAAACAAGGTTTTTAACGATCCAGACTTTTTGGGAAATACATTGCCTAATGGGTTGAATCGTAATTTCGACTTTTTACGTCGTTTCTAGTCCATTTTCAGCGTTTTGGACCTACAGTAACCCCTGTCAAATCTTTGGATCCATCTGGCCGTGTTCCATCTCCCCCCAAATATTGCGATGGACTGGATAGATACCCCGAGGCGACACCGATTCGGCTGTCAATATGCGCCCAGGGCATTTAGGGTGCAATTTCTAGCCGTTCATTTGCTATTCTGCCACCCTGGCTGTCAGGTGAGTCGAAAATTTAAGCAGGGCAAGCTAGCAGAGATCATTTATACTTTGAAATCGAGGATTTTGACTTCTATCGCTCAGTTTTAACGCGGAAATCTAAGAATCTTTGGGGAAAATTTACTTTTATGGTCCCCGTCCGAAAAGTGCTTTTTCGTGTCGGAATCGATAGAGAACTGTTCGAAATGTGGTTTACAGTCGAAAAAAAAGGTCGGAAAGATGTTTTTAATAGGAAATAAGCAGTTTTTTACGAAAATTTGAGGACCATAAAATGGGGTACGGGGGACTGAAGTTTATGGTCCTCGGCCGAAAATCAATTTTTCTTGTCGGAAACTATCCAGAAATGTTCAAAATATCGTTTGCAGTTCAAAAAAAATCGTCGGAAAGACCTTTATTAGCTTCAAAAAATATTTTGTTACAAAAATTCATTCAGCCCAATTTTAGCCTAAAAATAAGGCTTCGTGCCACCCGGGGCCTAGTCGCTTCGGAAGAGTGGAGCGGCAGCCCATCCGAAGCGACGGCCCGCCTTGCCTGACAATGCTACGTACCGCACGCTGTTCAGAAGCCTGAGGGGACCAAGAATCTTTCCGGCACTTTTTTCGATTTACTATGCATTTCCAACGATAATCTATTGAGTTAGTAAAAAAAAAAACGTTTTTCAGGTGAGGACCATAAACTTCAGTCCCCCGTACCCCCCTTTATGGTCCTCAAATTTTCGTGAAAAAACTGATTTTCTCCCAAAAAAAACTTCTTTCCGACGATTTTTTTGAACTGCAAACGATATTTTGAACATTTCTGGATAGTTTCCGACAAGAAAAATTGATTTTCGGCCGAGGACCATAAACTTCAGTCCCCCGTACCCCATTTTATGGTCCTCAAATTTTCGTAAAAAACTGCTTATTTCCTATTAAAAACATCTTTCCGACCCTTTTTTTCGACTGTAAACCACATTTCGAACAGTTCTCTAACGATTCCGACACGAAAAACCACTTTTCGGACGGGGACCATAAAAGTAAATCAAGCCAATCTTTGCTAGTTGCCACGTTTTTCACACAGAATTGTCTAAAATAAAGCCCAATTGATCAATTGAGCACAAAATTTTGGACAAGGCAGGCTAGCAGAGACCATTTGTCCTTTGAAATCGAGAATTTTGGCATCTTCCAGATTTTTTGGTGGAAAAGTCTCAAAATCTCTGCTAGCCTGCCCGGCTCTCATCGTTTTTTCTCGTAGCCTGACCGCCAATAAACACTCTCTGCTAGCCTGCCCTCCTCCAGGATGTCGTCCATCATCCGGCTGAACGTGTGTGCCGTGGTCGGGTCGATGGCGTGCATCTCGCTGTGCGTGCTCCTCTTTGCCGCCGTCTTCGAGGAGTGCCAGCAGCTCGAGCAGCTGCTCAATCACGAGATGTTGCTCTTACAGGTCTGGATTCATGGAACTGAGTTTTTCGGGCAAAAAGCACAAAGTTTGGCGCGGCCCGGGCTCGAACCCGCGACCCTAAAAACATGGCGTAATCGATTCTAAATTTCATTTTTTGACGTCATCTTGCTCGTTGTCTGTCCGATTATAAATTCTGAAATCCTGGAGCAAAATCTCAAACTACAAACTTCAGAAAGACGAGGTTCACGTGGTGTCGATGATGGCCGAGATTCAAAAAGACATTGGCGTCCAACAACTCAGAAAACCCAGACAGGTACTCTTTAACAACGAGCAGAGAGCATTTGGGAACTATTTCTTTACTTCAATTCCTCAAAGATTCTCTGCTAGATTGCCCGCTCCTTCTTCCAAGGCTACCACGGCTACCCGGCCAAGCGGATCGCTTTTGGCGCGAAAACGGTGGGTTCTACAGCGCTTTTCATGTCGTAATCAGTAAATCGGACGCCAGTTAACGTGAAAAAGATACTATGTAACTTAAATTATGCCTTTAGAAAGAAGATGATGCTCAAAATCCGGAAAAACTTGGCGAAACGACGAATGAAGAGTACCAGGATGAGGCGGGTTTTTAGAGCTTTGCAGAGGCTTTTTTAATGTTTTTAAACTAATTTTCTGGCTTTATAAATGCTAAATAATCTAAATATACCGTAATCCGGGCGAAAAATTGCGTTTTTGAGCTTTTCTGGCAGTGCCCCCTCTGTGCCCCGAAACACGCGCCACCTGGCCCACCCCCGGGGAGGGGGGTATATAAGAGACCACGTCCCTCCCAGGCAGACTGGAAATGATGACTCGAACGTGTTGTGGGAATCTCGATGAAATCCCGTGATTCGAAAGCTCGTAATATAAACGACTGATCTCTTTTTGCAATTTTTTAGGGGGCAGGCTAGCAGGGATTATTGAGGAATTTCGATCAAAAAATACTTTTTTAGGGCTACAACAATTTCGAGGAAGATCGCGTTGTCGAGGGAGCCGACTACGAAGAGCCCGGGGTAACTTTTAAAGGGCCTATGAAGGCAAAATCGTCTCAGGCTGCCCCTCCATCCTTTGGACCCCCAAAAAACCATCGTATCTTCTTCCGAAACCACCGTACCCCCCTCCACCACCACCGTATCCCCCACAACCCTCATGGCATCGGTGGCGTCGGCCGTGGAGCGTCTCGTAGCCCTCATCCCCGAACCGATTACGACGCCAAAACCGGTGATAGTACAACCGAATTTCCCGAGGTATCTTAGGCGCATTTTTCGCAAATAATCTCTGCTAGACCGCCCCCGGTGTCGAGCTACGAGTTCAACCCGATTGGGCCCACGAGGGGGCCGCTGCCCTCGAGGCGGCCATTCTTTTCGACCACGGTAGCCCCGCCGCCACAACCGAAGCAGTGCGGTGAGTACGGTGGCTTAGACTTGGGCTTAGGTTTAGGCTTAGGCTTGGGCTTCCGCTTGCCTTCAATGGCCCTTTAAAACCCAGTTTTCAGTCTTCAAAACGCCAGAAGAGTGCCCCAGAGGTCCTCCAGGTCCTCCTGGAGAACGAGGATCCGATGGATCGGCTGGAGAAGACGGAAAACCCGGCCCCGCCGGAAATGACGCCGAAGACTTGCAGTTGGAGGTAGCGTTGCGAATTTAAGCTTTATGAAACCTATCTTGTCGCCTAAATCTTTTAACTGGATGCCTATTTAGCTCCAACAATTATTTTCAGCCTCCCCAGCACGCCGGCTGCACCACTTGCCCCCAGGGACCCCCCGGCCCGCCTGGTGCTCTTGGAAAGAAGGGTAGGCCTTTTTGGAGTTTGTAGTTTGTAGTTTGTAGCTTGTAGCCTGGATAAAGCTCTAAGCTTTGCTACAGACTACAATTTCGACAAGCCTCGTCCCCCAAAATTACCCTAATTTCCAGGTGCGCGCGGGCTGCGGGGAGCGATGGGAACCCCGGGCGTCCCCGGCCGAAATGGAGCCCCAGGAATGCCAGGTTCGAGCTTTAGTGTTTCTGGGTGTCATCTGACCCTAAACCTACTCAAAACCCAAAAAGCAAAAAGTTTTCCGAGGCCGCGGGTCGAACTCGGACCCTGAGATTTTGACACTAGCTCGCTAACCACTTGACCAAGTCGGGCGTGGGGTCAAAACTTGCGTAAGCGTTCTAGAATTTGATTTTTCAGATCTCAGTTTTCATTGTACTTGCCAGATACCCGATTCTGAGTGTTTGAGGCAAAAAGCAAAAAGCCAAACCTCCAGGCCGCGGCCGGGGGTCGAACCCGAGCCCGATTTTGATGCCGTAATCGGTTATTTTGCAGGCGTAACTGGTGGCGAGGGGCCAATGGGGCCAGACGGCGAGCAGGGACCGGAGGGGATGGCCGGCATTGACGGGACGGCCGGGGTGGGCCCCCGTGGGCCCCAAGGAATACAGGGAGCACCAGGGGACGCTGGAGAGCAGGGAGATGAGGGAAGAGAGGGGCCGATGGGTGGAAGAGGTGAGAAAACGACCTAGGAACGTAGTAGGCAATTTTTGGAGCTCAACATTCAAAAAGCAAAAAGTTATGACCCCGGCCGGGATCGAACCCTCGGGATCCGATTACGCCAGGAAATTCCGTTTCAGGCCGCCCGGGCGATCGAGGAGCTGATGGAGAAGCCGGGCAAGAGGGCGCCGAAGGACCAGCAGGAGATCGAGGAGAGGAGGGTGAACCGGGTAAGGCTACAGAATTACAGTCTACAGACTACAGACAAGGCTACAGACTACAAATTCTCACACAAAAGACTACAACGCTACAAAAATGCGCCCAATGGCTGAATTGGAGGCCAGATTAGCGAAATCTGGAAGGCTACAGGCTACAATTTCAAACGTCCGGGCTACAAACTACAAAAACGCCCTCCTAGGTGCCGACTCGGAATATTGCCCGTGCCCGCATCGCGTCTACTCCCGCGTCGAGCTGCTCCGATCGATTGTGTAGTCTGTAGTACAGAATTTGTACTTTGTAGTCTATATTTTGTAGCCTACGATACGGAATAAATATAATTTATTAAATACAGGGTTAGATGCAAATATTGTATCCACAGCCTGAGGGGCAGCACTTTGTCCCCTTCGTGCAGTGAGTGTCGTTTGAGCACCAGGACACCTAAAATGTGCTTTTTTGGTTTTTCCGGGTTTGCTAGCGCTCAATACCACCTATTAAAGGGACAGTGACACTCACCAGTCGTGCCGTCTTCGAGCAAACGATGCCGAGCTGCTCCTGGGTGGGGCACTGGTCGGGGCCCGGCTTGCAGCACAGGTTGTTCGAGACGTCACGGCACATCTTAATCCATATTTTATGCTTTCAATGGGCCTTTAAAAGCCGAAAAATTGGTTTAAAGGATTTGGCAAGGCAAGATTCAACGAAACCACGTCCCTTATTGCCTTCAACGGCCTTTAAAAGCCAAAAATTATTTTTAAAAGGCTTGGCAAGACAAAGCCCATAGCGTCCGGACCCATTTTTGCCTTCAATGGTCCTTTAAAAGCCACAAAAATAATTTTAAGGGGATTGGCAAGGCAAAGCCCATAGCGTGCGGACCAATTTTTGCCTTCAATGGTCCTTTAAGCCCTAATAATCCCTACTAGCCTGCCCCCTTTCTTACCATTCCTCCCTGAACGCATTGCGGATGTGGGCGGCAGCGGTCTTGGTAGAATTTCCGTTGGCAGGTGGGTGGCGGGGCTGGAAATGTTGTAGTTTGTAGTCGGCGCCTTTTGATGGCGTAATCGGATGGCCTAGCGTCTCCAAACTACAAATAAAGCCTAATTAGCTGACGGCTTGGCGCTTTTCAAAAGAAAAATCGAATTTTTAGCTAAAATAGCGCGTTTAGGTTTTCCTGGCGTAATCAATTCGGAAACAGGCCCTTTAATGGCGTAATCGGTTATCCCAAAGGCTCTAAACTACAAATTTGGCCTAATTGGTTGACGACTTGGCGATTTTCAAAAGAAAAAAAATTGAATTTGAGCAAAAATAACGATTTTACGATTTCATGGCGTAATCGATTAGGCCATGTATTTTTCTCGGGTTCCGCTGCATTCCTATCGACTCACGGGGTACTGTAGTGGTCGTCGGGGCCTCTGTGGGAGGCGAATACCCCTTCGCCTCGCATTCCGGGGTGTAGATGCCCAACAAGTGCAGATACTCGCACCGCTCCATCCGGTCTGGGGCGGCCCTAAAATTGTAGTTTCTAGCCTAGCGGGTTTTTCGGGTTGGAATCTGTAGTCTAGCTGCCAGTAAGACGAAAAATTGCCTTAACCCACCCATTGCTGTTCTTCCGGCTGCGCAGGATCACGAACTCGTCCCCGTTGGCCGCCTCCAGCTCGGAGGACGACTCTGCAATGGCTTCAATGGTCCTTTAAAATTGAGGTTCTATGTTTTTTGGACAAATTGGACGATAGATAGATCAACGCAAAAAAAACTAGAGACTCAGATTGGCAATCCAAGCCGAGTTTGGGAGTCGAGGGTTCGATCCCGCCCGAGGTAAAAGTTTTTTGCTGTTTGCTAAAAACGCGATTTTTACGTGGATTTTTAGGGTAGCTACTGGAAGCTGAGTCACAACAAGCAAAAACGCAAAAAAAAAGCTTTTAAAGGGACCAGGAAGCCAATAAATTCGGATCGAGGGTTCGATCCCTTCCGAGGTCAAAATTTTTTGCTTTTTGCCAAAAATCCAATTTTTTGCGCGATTCGATAGTAGACCTACCAGTCGGCTGCCCGTCCCAGGGAAAAGCCTGGGTGGCCGTGAGGAACATGGGGAGGAGGCAGGAGACGAGCATGGCTTCCGGTACCCTGGTCCCAACAGGGCAGCTGCCATTTATACCGGCCACATTCAGATCCGGATGATGATGATGAGGGGGGAGGGCACTAAGGAGTGGACAAACAACTAGCGTCACACAGACAGAGAGACAGAGAAAGGGGGCAAACAAACAGACAGAGAGTGATACCAGGGGGGGATCAGCCATTGTCCCGCACAAGGTGGGGGGGGGGGCAAAGATGCCGTTGCGGGACCCAAATCTGATTAGCGCTTAGGCTATCAGCTTGGCAGCATGCCAGATCAGACATTGGCAGCGAAAAAAAAGCAAAAAAAAAACCGGATTTTCCAGAAAATTTTGAAAAATTAGCTTTTGGGGCCATTACGACATGAAATTCGGGTCAAAATTTCTCAAAATTTGTAGTTTGTGGGCTTTGACGGGCTGGCAGCCGGCCATAAAAGCCAGTGACACAAAAAAGCAATCGAAAAAAGGTAACATTTTTGACAAAAAATTAGATTTCCGAAGTTTTCGACATTCGATTACGCTAGGAAAATGGAAACCTCCATAATGGGCTAAAAATGGGATTTTAGTTAATGGCTCTACCAGTTGGCAGGTATAGGTGGAAAATAAAAACTGGTCGTCGCGAAAACCCCCCCCCCCGTTAACAGTCCAGTACCGAAATTTCGAAATTTGCATCCCGAACCGGGATCCCGAGAGGACGGAAGAGAAAAATCTGCACAAAATCGCCACTTTCCCGCCCGGCTTCATCTCGTTCGGTAGTTTCTCCTCGTTTTAAAGGGACAGCGACACCTCTACAGTATGCCCTCCGAGAAGAAGGGCTCGTACCTGACGCTGAAGCGGATGCGCAACTCGTCGCAGACCCCCGGCGAGCCGTTGCCCGACTACCCGTCAGCGAAATGCCCGGAGGGATGCCCGCCGCCGGTCCGCGGCACCGTCACCCTCAAGGAGCGCAACAAGCGCTGGCGCCGCACGCGCAGGTGATTTTTATGGCGTAATCGAATCCCAAACCCCGAATTCCATGGCGTAACCAATTATCCCCTTGCTCAGGTTCTACGCCGAGCTGGCCCGCGGCCACCTGAAGCTGTGGAAAAACAAGAAGGAGAAGGAGGACAAGGACGCCGGGCTCACGTCGGCATGGTCGACAAAGATTGATATCGGCGCCGTGACGGTGGTGCCCGAGAAGAAGCAGCAACGCTTTGCCCTCCAATTCCCCAAGAATACACAGGTAAAGTAGAGGCTTGGTAGAGTTTTTCAAGCGCTTTCGAATGGTGTATAAAACATTACGCTAGGTAATTCCCGGAGAAAGTTATAGCTGTTTAAAGCCTCAACCCTGGACTACAAACTACAATCGACCACATCTTGAGATAGGAATGTCGGATTTTTATGTTTTATAGCTCGTTTTGTAGAGTTTTTCAAGGGCTTTCGAATGGTGTATCTTACGTGACGATAGCTAATTCATACAGAAAGTTCTGCGGGTTTAAAGGGATAGTGACAGCGATTTACCTATCGTAATCGATTGCAGATCCTGGCCCCGGTGGACGCGTCGACGTACGACGTGTGGCTGGAAGGACTGCGCCACCATCGCCTCTACAAACAGGCCGGAGGAGGAGGAGCGGCTGAAGGGTAGGTCTCTCTCTCTCTCTCTCTCCTCTCTCTCTCTCTCTCTCTCCGTCACTTCCTGACTGGCAGATATCCGATTCTGAAAGTTTGAAGCAAAAAGCAAAAGATCTGCCGCGGCCGGGGGTCGAACCCGGGTCGTCAGATTGTCGGCAAACCTCTTATCCACTCGGCCATGAGTTCAGCCCCATTTTTCTCGTAAAACTGTGTCTAATTTCCTCCTCAGTACCAGCGGAGCCACCTCGCCGCCGCAGGACGCCTCCGGCGAGCTCGACGAGAATGACAACCCGTGGGTTTTGCCAAGAAGCCGCCGAATTTCAGAGCGTAATCGATTGGTCTCTAGGGTTTCCGGTGCCCTTAAAAGTGTAAAAACTTGATTTTTGGCCATAATGGCATACAGTCAGATCCGGAACATCGAAAAAACGGGGGTTTTTTGGTCCCACCCCAAATTCCGAATTTCATGGCGTAATCGATTGGCTTCTGGGTTCCGGGTGCCTTTAAAAGTGCAAAAATTTGTACTTTTCAGCGTAGCCGCCCACTCCCCGGATGACGGCTCGGCCCCTGCCAACGAGGAGAAGAAGATGTGCGAGGGGCTCGAGGCGACCGCCAAGGTGATGGACGACGCGAAGGAGCTGTTCGCCATGTCGTTGGAAGTGGCGTCGAGTCTCGTCGGGACCGCCGAACAGCTCAACAAGTTGCAGCGGCAGATGAAGGTCCGATTTTCATGCAAAAAAAGCAAAAAGCAAAAAAATTGTCGTGGGCGGGGGTTGAACCCGGACCGCCAGATTGATAGCCAACCTCGCTAACCACTTGACTCTGCCGTTTCAGGGCACCCTCGTCGAGATGAAGCGCGAGGTGATGGCGATCAAGGCGGGAGGGCGAGGGCTGCAGCTGACGCCCGAGTCGTCGATGCACACCGCTCGATTCAGTAAGCGGGGGGGGGGGGGGAGAGAGAGAGAGAGAGAGAAGGAGAGAGAGAGAGAGAGAGAGCGGGGGGGAGAGAGAGAGAGAGAAGAGAGAGAGAGAGAACGAGAGACAAAACCCTTTTCCAGAATCGGCCGAGGAGCTCGAGGCGTTCGAGGACGCGAAGGAGAAGCAGAGCGCCGTCGCCCTGGAGCAGGAGAAGAAGTGAGCCGACGTCTTCAAGCCGTTCACCCTCCCCCCTTTCCAGCGATCTGCTCGAGCGCTCGCGCAAAGTGTTGGAGGAGACGCAGCGCGTGGCCGAGCCCCCGTCCGATCAGATGAGCCAGACGTCCGGGGCCGTCGAGGAGGCCGTCACCGCCCCCATGCAGGTGGGCGAGCAGTTCAACAGGATTTCATAGCGTAACCTAATTTTTCAGCCGGTCGTTTTCTGCGCGCCGCGGCCGCGTCGCACCTGCCTGCCCGCGAAGATGATGGCCGCCGAGGGGCTCGGGATGGGCGGGCTGGCCAGGATGGCCCTCAGCAGGTACTTTTTTGCCTTCAGCGGACCTTTATAAGTTGAAAAATCCGTTTTAAAGGGACGTAGAAGGCAAAATCCATAGCCCGGGCGTCGTCTTGTGCCTTCAATAGGTCTTAAAAACCACTAAAGTAGTTTTAAAGGGACAAAGATGGCAAAATCCATAGCGGGACACGCGTTTCCGACTTAAATGGGCCTTTAAACCCCCCGCCGATAACAGAACAGTACCATCGTTTCCCCCTCCCAGGGCCGGCCTCCCCGTCTCCTTCTTCGAGCCGCTGTCGGCCATCCAGTTCCTATGCGAGGAGCTGCGCTACAATCAGCTGCTGGCCCAGGCCGTCTCCGCCCGGGATCCCGTCGATAGGATGGTACGGAATTTTGAGATTTTCATGGCGTAATTCATCCCAAAATTGCGAAAATTCCGGGAAACAGCCGATTACGGTAGGAAATCCGTTGCTTTCTGTAGGCGTTGGTGGCGGCGTTTGCCGTCTCGGGCTACTCGAACACGAAGGGACGCTCCCGGAAACCGCTGAACCCCATCCTCGGCGAGTCGTTCGACTACGTCGAGCCGACGTGGCGCTTCCATGGGGAACAGGTAAGCCGAAGCCTAAGCCAAGCCTAAGCTAAGCCTGTTCAGGTCTCCCACCATCCCCCGATCACGGCTGGCTTTGCCGAGGGCACGGGCTGGGTGTGGTGGCAGACGATGGACCCGGTCACCACCACCTCCAAGCTGTCCGGAACCATCGAGGTGGGCCGGGGTTTTGTAGAGCTTTTCAAGGGCTTTCGAATGGTGTAGGTCACGCTACGAAAGGTAATTCTTAGCCAAAGTTATGGCCATTTTAAGTTTGTGCCCCAGGCCACAAACTACAATCGATCGTATCTCGGGATACAAACATCAGATTTTCATGTTTTATAGCTCATTTTGTAGCGTTTTTAAAGAGCTTTCGAATGAGGTATATAACGTTACGATAGCTAATTCCTGGACAAAGTTATAGGGCCTAGTAGGTTCAATCGATTACGCCATGTAATTCACCCGTCTTCAGCTGACCCAAAGCCTGCCGATCCGCCTGAAACTGGCGACCGCCGACGGGATGGAGCAGTACGCCATCGAAAAGGTGCACACCACCATCGAGAAGCCAACGGACCCCGAGAAGAGGAAGGTACGCAGCAGAGAGCATTTGCGGAACGGAGGCCACGCCCCCTTTTCGTCTAGGTGAGCCACACGGGCAAGATGGTGATCACGTCGACGAACGGGTACTCGTGCGAGCTGCACTTTGTCGCGAATAGGGAGGTGAGCATGACTGAATCTCTCTCTTTCTCTCTTTCTCTCTCTCTCTCTCTCTCTCTCTCGCTCTCTCTCTCTATCGCTCTATTTGCTTCAATGGCGATTCTGAGCTTTTGGAGCAAAAAGCAAAAAGTTTGTAAGTCCCGGGAGTCGAACCCGGGTCATCAGATTGGTAGACAAGACCATGAATTTCGGGGCTGGCTTTTTGGCGAAAACTCGTGTTTTTTGCAGCTTCGCGGCGACATCTTCAAGGGCGAGGTGGTGGCCTGTCGGCTGGCCGGCCACTGGGACAAGCAGTTGACCAAGTAGGGTTTTTCTGTCTCTCTCTCTCTCTCTCTCTCACTCTCTCTCTCTCTCTTTCGCTCACTCTCTCACTCCAGGGTCGCCACCACCGGTGCGCAGTCGTCCCTCTTCCAGGCGGCCGACGAGGAGTTCGGCGAGTACTATGGCTTCAAGTAGGGGGAAAGGCTAGAAACTACAAACTACACCTTTTTACAGCTCGTTCACGATGACGCTGAACGAGCCGGTGACGCCGGCCGACTCGGCCCCGCCTACCGACTCCCGGCTGCGCCCCGACCAGCGGGCCCTCGAGAACGGCAATCCCGGGCAGGCGGCCAAGCTGAAGAAGAAGCTCGAGGAGGTCAGCCAGGGGGGGAACTGATTACGACATGAAAATGGCCGATTTTCATGGTGTAATCGATTGAAAAATGCAGAATTTCCGGGCGTAACCGATTACGCCACGTATTTTTTTGCAGGCGCAGCGCGTCCGCGGCAAGTCGCACGCCTTCACGCCGCTGTGGTTCGACAACATGGGCGACGAGATGACGCAGAAGAGCATCTACATGCCCAATATGAAGTGGGTAGATGAAGTCGAAGCCACGCCCAAGCTACAGACTACAAACTACAAATTCTAGGTACTGGACCGAGAAGGAGCGCCACTTTGCCGGCGTCCACTTTCCCGACATTTTCACCGTCTGAGCCGCCCGGCCGGCTACAGGCTACACACTCCACTCCAATCGACCATTAACCCCCCGACAATTCATCCCTGGAATTTGGCTCTCTCGCTCTCTATCTGTCTCTCTCTCGCTCTCTGCGTGTCTCTCTCCCCCCACTCTCTCGCCACTCGCTACTCGCTACCGCCTGTGATTAAGCCCCGCCCCTTTTTCTCTTTTTTTCTATCGCTAAAGTGAGAAAACGCTCAATATGTTTCCCGCGCCCCGGCAAATGGTCTCTGCTAGCCTGCCCCGCCCCTTCTCGGTGTACTCGAATAAATGACTTTGCGTTAGAGGAGTGGGCAACGAGCAGAGATTCTTGAGGAAACGGGCCGATACTGCCAGATGCAGTGTCGTAATCGGTTGCTGTCGGCGCGTTGGTGATTTCATGGCGTAATCGGTTGGAATTTAGTGGCGTAATCGATTGAACGCGAATTTCATCGCGTAATCGCTAAATCTGCAATTTCTGGGCGTAATTGGATGGGTGCGAATTTCGTGGCGTAATCGATAGCGCGTTTCAGGAAGAGGCCCAAAAGGATAGTGAGGAGAGAGAGCGAGCGAGCGAGAGAGAAAGAAAGAGAGAGAGAGAGAGAGAGAGAGAGATGGATAGAGAGAGAGAGAGAGGGAGATAGAGAGAGAGAGAGAGAGAGATGGATAGAGAGAGAGATGGATAAGAGAGAGAGAGAGAGATGGGTAGAGAAGAGAGAGAGAGATGGATAAGAGAAGAGAGAGAGAGAGGAGAGAGAGATGGATAGAGAAAGAACGTGATAAGGATGATAACCCAAATTCCTAGACCTCCCTATCATGCTCGCCTTCCCGATCCGCGTTCATTAAATCATGAGGGTGGCTATCGGCTGGTGTCTCGTCTTCGCTGGGCTAATCGGTGCAGGTAGGCACAGGCTTGGCTTAGGCTTAAGCTTCCGCTTCAATATCTCTAGAAAACCTCGAGCTCGATCTCGCCAACATCCTCTCCCCCTTCGACCTCGACGCCGAGTTGGCGGCGTTCAGCAACGAGTGCCTGACCGATGACGACCTCGTGGGACTATGGGACCACAAGCTGAAGGCGTTCGCCGCGCGAGCGCTCGGTTCCTACCTACCCCTGGCCGCCGCCGAGACCATAGGTAAATTTTCGGTTTCCAGGTGTCACTGTCCCTTTAAAGTCATTTTAAGGGTTGGGTAGGATAGCAGATATCATTGGGGAAGCGATTTTTGCCTTCTGTGGTCCTTTAAAACCGAATTTCGAGCTGTTAACTTCCACTTAGGGTTTTTAAAGGGATGGTGACAGCTAGAAAGGCGATTTTAAAAGGTGAGGGCAAACTAGCAGAAATCATTGGAGAACGTTTTTTGCCTTCCATGGCCCTTTAAAACTGATTTTCTAGCTATCACCGTACGCTTAGAGCCTTGAAAGGGGTGGCGACACCTAGAAAATCCCCCTTAAAGGGCCGTCAACCTGCCGAACCTCTCCTAAAGGGTCGCTGCTAGCTTGCCCGGCCATTAAAGGGGTATGGACACCAAATTTCAGGTCTCCAGGAGCTGCGCTCGGCGCTGAACATGAGCTCGATACCACCGTGGACCTACTACAGGGATTACTATAATTATCAGGGCCAAGAGCTCGTGGAGAGGAACACACAAAGGGAAAGAGAACTCGCCGCCGCCAAGACGCTTGAGGAATACTTCGAGCTGAGAGATCCGAGCAGCCACAGGGTATCGCTGGATAGCACGTTTCTCGTCGAGACAAACATGCCCCCGGCTGTCGCTTATATGGATAGAAGATTTCCGGTCATTCGGAGGATTTTTAGGTGGGTCTCTTTCGCTCGCTCTCTTTCTCTCTCACTCACTCTCTCTCTCTCTCTCTCTCTCTTTCTCTCACTCTCTCTCTCACTCTCTCTGTCTCTCTGTCTCTTACTCTCTCTCTCTCTCTCTCTCTCTCTCTCTCTCTCTCTCTCTCTCTCTCTCTCTCTCTCTCTCTCTCTCTCCCCTCTCTCTCTCTCTTTCTCTCTCTCTCTTTCTCTCTCTCTCTCTTTCTCTCTCTCGCTCTCTTTCTCTCTCTCTCGCTCTCGCTCTCTTTCTCTCTCTCTCTCTCTCTCTCTCTCTCTCTCTCTGTCTCTGTCTCTCTCTCTATCTCGTCAAAAATCCTGCCTTCAATGATCCTTTAAAAAATACTTTAAAGCGTTTTAAAGGACCGTTGAAGGCAGGGCAAGCTAGCTAAGAAGCTAGCAAAGAATGTCCATTAACAGGTCAATTGAGCCACCATTTAGGCATAAAATGGAAGAAGTTGTCCCTCCGGCCGGAACGCCCCTCGACCGCCCCACCATCGACCGCGCCATCGCCGAATTTGAGGCCATCTCCCGGCGCGTGGACCAAGCAATCGAAAAATTGGTGTTCTTCCCGACCCAAAAATGCTACAACCAAATCCATGCTGAAGCAGCAGCCGCGGCCCGGAAACGGAAAATGGTTGAAAACTCGAATACTGATAAATAATAAATCTTTGACCATCAAACGTCCATTATGCGCTCAGGGCTTAAATTAAAAAGCCCGTTTATCATTTTGTTTTGTAGAGTTTTTCATGGGCTTTCGAATGGTGTTTAAATCATTACGCTAGGTAATTCCTGGATAAAGTTATGAGGGCTTGAAGTTGGAGCTTGGACCTGGCGAGCTAGCAGAGATTTTTGAGGAATGGGGGCGTGGCATGGTTTCAATTTTAAATGAACTTCGTAGAGTTTTTTAAGCCCTTTCGAATGGTGTATAAAACGTTACGATAGCTAATTCCCAGCCAAAGTTATGCGGGTTGACTCGCTGGGGGGAGGTCGACCCTGAAATCGGCCATATGATAGGCTTACCAGAATTTTCGATTTTCTGAGATTACGGTATTTTTGCAATTTTTATTACAGGGCTTTGTAGAGTTTTCAAGCCCTTTCGAATGGTGTATCAATCATTACGGTAGCTAATTCCTAGGCGAAGTTATAGCTAGTGAAAGTTGACCCTTAGGCTTAGGCTTAGGCTTAGGCTTAGGCTTAGGCTTAGGCTTAGGCTTAGGCTTAGGCTTAGGCTTAGGCTTAGGCTTAGGCTTAGGCTTGGGCTTAGGCTTGGCTTAGGCTTGGGTTTAAGCTTAGGCTTAGGCTCAGGCGTAGGCTTCGGCCTAGGCTTAGCTTAGGCTTAGGTTTAGGATTGGGCTTAGGCTTAGGCTTCGGTTTCTCAAACGCTCTCCGCTGGTTTGCCCCAATTTTGCGGGGGGTAGTGTGGCCTTCGATGCGTGTCAACATAGTAGTTGTATGGAATCGAGGGGGTCGAGTCATTCAATGCCCCCCCGCCTCCATACCTAGTCGTAACAAGTTGCGAGAGAAAGGGGGGTCCGATTGTCCACCAATATAAACGGCATCGGGCAGAGAATGCCCCGCACGGGGCATGAACCAGATAAATTTGGGTGTACCTGGCTAATTTTGGGGACGATTTTGGTTGCGTAATCGATTACGAGATGTTTTTTTACGTTTTTTAATAGCGTAATCGCTTCCAAAAGTCCGTTTCCATCGCGTAATGGAAACGAAAGGCCCGGTTTTCCTCGCTCATTCGATATGCCTGGCCAATTTTGGGGACGAATTTGGCTGCGTAATTTTGGTTGACGATTTTATTGCGTAATTAATTTCCGAAAGCCGTTTTTCATAGCGTAATCGATTAGAACTCCCGATTTTTCTAGCGTAATCGGTTGGAAAGTCAGATTTTCATTGCATAATCCATTGAACATCCTGATTTCATGGCGTAATCGAATGAAAAACTCTATTTTTGTAGCGTAATCGATTGGAGAGAATTATTTTTATGTCGTAATCGATTCAAGTTTTATTTTCGTCGCGTAATCGGTTCCAGACACCCATTTTTATAGCGTAATATTGCAAACCACGATTTTTACTAGCGTAATCGTTCACAAAGCCCGATTTTCATAGCGTAATCAATTCTCAGCTGTCACCGCCCCTTTAAAATTGGCATACAGATCAAATTTCATAGCGTAATCGATTCGGCTTGGATTTTGCGTCCTGTAATGGGTGCCAGAGAGCTTTTTTCGGGATTTTTCATGAGTTTCGTTGCGTAATCAATTGACCTGAGCAGTCACACTCCCTTTAAAGTCCAAATTCTCTAGTCCTTATGGCCCAAATTGGGCCCACCAAATAATTAGGGGCCCACTAGAGAGGGCGTGCCGGGGGGTTTTCCGGCCCGGCTTTTCGTGCCTTTTCAGGGTCTCCCCTCTTGGCTGGAATTGAATATAGCCCGAGGGGGCATTTTGAGGGGGAAGGGGAGGGGAGGTGGGAAAAGGCTTGTATACTAGAGGAGTCCGACTCACTTGGGGGCCATTCTAAGGAATCTCTCTCTCTCTCTCTCTCTCTCTCTCTCTCTCTCTCTCGCTTCAGAAATCTGAGCCTTATGATTCCGCCCTTTGCCATGGGCTTCCGGTTTCCTAAAAATTCTCTGCTAGCTTCCGCCCTCCCCACTTCACGGTTCCGGCAAGCTAGCAGAGATTCTTTTAGGAATTGGAGCCAAGAAGTAGTATAGCGTTAGACTATGCTTTTCGCCGTGTTCTCAGCCCCCGCTTTTACCCCTAGGGAATGGCTGTTGCCTGGCCGCCCCTCATTGTTATGCCTTCTTACCCCCCCCGAATGGGGCATTTCTGCGAGCAAACGTCCGCAGAAATTCCCTTTCATCCGCCGCCCTAGCTCTGAATTCCTCAAAGAATCTCTGCTAGCTTGCCTAGCTTGGGCTTTGGCTAGGCTTAGGCTTGGCTTAGGCCTTCAAAAACCTTTAAAGGGACAGCAACACCTATAAATCGTTTTTAAAGGACCATTGAAGCCACAAAACCCCACTGCTTCGTCCCTTCTTGCCCAATTCCTCAACGAATCTCTGCTAGCCGGCCTTTTTTAGGATCGATTATGCCATTTTTTCCGCTTTCCGGCCTCTAGCAGAGATGATTTGGGAATCGATTACGCCATTTTATCC